CTATAGGCGTAGACCGAAATTGTAAGTGTATATTCGTGTTGAAACTCGTCAAACCCTGGGAAATATACACATGCTGCCATCTGAGAGTGACTGGACGTCAACAACTCCCCCGCAGTAAGCTCCTGTCCTTGAAAAGTGGTTGGCCAGTGAGGCCAGACAGAGGGTGACCTTGAACGGAGGTTTTGACAACCTGGGGCGCACGGGCTGGTGCACATGAGAGCCAGACACGCTGGGCATGTGAGCAAAGTTTGGCTAGGAAATACAAAGTCGCTACACCAGAAACCCATTTTCTCTTTACCAACTTACCAGCTTAAGAGACTGGAGGTCAGGAAGCCAGGAGGCCTGACTATTTGATGAATTTCAGAGTACAGCCCCGTTACATTTGTTCCAGCGCCAACAGTCTCATAAGTTGCTATCAAGGGTCATCTTTATTGCGTTTCCACTGAGTTTTAACGTGGAATGAACATGTGCGACTTCTATTTCAGTGAGCCTTGTTGTAAGTACCATTCTGTATAAGCATTCACAGACATGGACCTACCCGAGTGGATGCCGATGCGCAGGAGGATGGGCACATCAGGCAGGTATCGAATTACCAGAGGAGCACTGATACTGAGCAGCTCTAGGGCCATGGTTGCGACCTCTCCTGCGTGCAGATTGCCATTGCGGATAGGAATTCCAGAGGCCACCACGTAGGCGTCACCAATAGTCTCCACCTGCGACTCACATGGCGCGAGGGAAAGAGGATAAAAGAGGTAAACTCCGGAATTTCCAGTTTTGTGCAGAAATAAAGACCCTTTAAACTGGGAGCGAACTGTCGAAAATCCGTGGACCAACCCCTCTCTTAAGTACAATTAACGCAAGCAATGGGAGACCTTAGCGAGGTACCTCGCGACGGTGGAGCTAACTATCGCATTGTGTATATGGAGTGCAGTAGGTTCTGCAGTGGAAATATGGACTTTGATCATGCTGAATATCAGTAATTACTTTTGGCTATTCTCGAAGACGTCTACTGAAGGATAATTATTAATACGATCAACATACACGAGAGGGTGTTAATAATCTATATGCTGTCCACCAACTCTTGTTATTCATGCGAATCAGATCGAAAATTAGGAAAAAAAGCGAGTTCCACATACATCAAACGGAAATATCTGAGCTCTCTATATTCGATACGATACACATATCCATTTCCTAATCGCTTCGGGAGAGTACAAGCGGTGGATGTCCTATAGCGGTTGCGGTAGACGAAGCGTCAAGGTAAACTTTCAAACCGTCTTTGCATTGAAAGTTCCTACGGGGGGTGCCCGGCGGTCCTCGCTCTAAATCATTTAATGCACTTCTTGATTTTACAGGAACCAGTTCATGAACGATGCTGATAAGTGTTGAAAATTACTGTGGTTAGATAAAGGGATTAAATATAAGTGTTTGTGAAAAGAAAAGATGATGGCGAAATCCCATTTCTTAAAAATTATTAATAATTACGATGTGAAACCTGCGCAATGGCGAGTGGAATTGCACTTTGAATTACATATACTTTTTGGAGACCTTTCTACGTTTTCTGTAATTTGTCTGTCACGCAAAAGCATAAAGCGAAACTCGATATCCAAATGTTGATGAGCACCTTTTACTTAACAGTTTGTGGGATTGACTGCCGCAGCTTTCCATGCCCTAGAAAAAACAGACCCATGGACCAGTACTTGAGCATATTATATAGTATACAAAAGAAAAACTAATCATGCAGGTTAAGATCTTTGCGCCCCCAGAACCTACAGAGCATTCTCTATTGTTTCGGACCTTTCACGCACATCCTATCCTTTCTTTCATATTTCAGCCAATTTCGGCTAATTTAAACAGCTGCATTTTACTGTTTGTCAGAAACTAATTCATATGATCCAGTAAAATATGCAAACATGCTAGCATCCAGCCCCACATACGGGTGCTCGTTCCAGTTAGCGTCTGCCGTTCCCAAATCTGATCTTTATGATGTTGCCGGAAATCTACCACGTGACCGATATTAGGGGTACCTCAGAATACCACTGCAAGCCCAGCCCAATTATAAATCTGACAGTGAGAGCGAATATGCACCCAAAATTTTTATTTAGACTAAAAATCCGTAAACTTGTGTCTTTCAACTAAAATAGTAACCGTAGAACGACCTTATAAACGGCGAACTTCTCAATTGTTGCGTCAAATGTTGTATAGATGTCACTGAGCAGATCGACAATTTGCAATGGCGTAGATTTGGCAGAGATCAAAGAGAATTCTACAATGTCACTAAAGTAAATGGTGACGTTGTCGAACGCTTCCGGATCCACAGGGTTTCCAGCAACCAAAGCCTGAGCAACCGGCCTGCAAAATGTCCCAAAAAGGAAACTTGGCAGAATTTTTCACGAAATGGCCAAAATGGGCACCGTCTTGAGTGTCACTTTGAAATTACCTTAAAGGTGAGCACTAGGTAGCGAAATACTTACAGTGGCAGCATCTTAGCTATGAGATTTTCCGTCTTCTGTTTTTCCTCCTCCAGCTGCATTGTGCGTTCTTGTACTTCAGCCTCCAGTTGCTCAGAATATTTTTGCATGAGCGTGAACATGTGGTCAACAATATTAACATTCCTGGAAAAAATGAATTTCAATTCATGTGAAAATATAACTAACACACTACACCATTAGTGAACAGTATGTGCCGCAGTAGTGGTTTTGCCAAAACACTAAGCTCGATGGGCTGGGAGCCTTAGAACCATGACTCGAGCAGTTCGCGGCTCACATGGTTGTCGCTACTTGCGAGGACTTCGGCCTCATCAAACTTGAAAATATGGCCAGGTTCCGTCGTGTGAGCTGCAACCTGGGAGTTGGCGTCTTTCTTCCTC